CAAATGATTGGAAATGTTATTTCTGAAATGAAATCACTGAGCACTCCAAATTGCTCAGTTGTTTCTGACTTCAGAAATTCTTTTCATTGCTACTTGAAAATTTCCACTTAGGACAAAGGAGATTGAACAGTATCTTGTTTCCTAAAAGTGACATGATGAGACAGTTAACCATAAAGCATTCCTGTAAACATGGTTTTACATATCTGCCAAAGGCTATCCCAAGAATACTTTTCTGTCACAAAATATTATTGATCAAGATATGTCTGCCTTTACTCTCTGAAAGAAAGACCAAGGAATGAAAAGTGGAAATGTGAAAGAACAAAACCTGGAAAATTCAATAAACTTCAATAGTGTTTTGAATTCGGGGAAATTTACGCTTTCCAAGGTAACCTCTGAGAGTCGTTTCTATTACCAAAAGAAAGTTCATAAAATTTCAAAGTCAGTTTTAGAATTATGAAAAAAATTCCTATTTAACAGCTTCCTAGGGTTAATTGTATTTTCCTCCACTCTGCTTATTTTAGTCAACTAAACATCTTTAGAACTCATTTCCTTTTTACTATGTACAACAATGTGATAGCAGAAATATTTTTTTTATTATTTCTATGCATTACATTTGGCTTACTGATGGAAATATAATATGCACTTTGCTTGAGAATAAGATGGCTTTGGAATTGCTTAATGCTTATCGCATAAAGCTGGACTCATGTACGTTGTCAGGGAGCTCTCTAAGAGGTTTGAGAACTATACAGAAATTAAATTCTTGTCACAATCGGCAATGTGAACTAGGCACAAGAATAACAAACCGTCCAGAAGGGCAGAGAGTGGAAAATACCTACTTCTGACTGCCAGGCAATCTGGCAGTGCCACCTTGCTTCCCTCTGTGGGGGGTGCAAGCCCAAGTGATGCACAATCCAAGGGCCTTTCTGAACTGTTAGACAGCACATTGTGTTTCCATGTAGTTTTTATTTTTATTCATGGAAGTAGAAAGAGAGCTTGAAATTAAGCTTCAACTTCACAGCCAACCAGCTTCTTGAAAATATGGCAATTAGGTTGTAACCACAGAAACCCAGCCAATGAGTGAGGCACCATATATCCTGTCATCAGAACATATGAACTATTGTCTACATTGCCATTGTGAAGTGCTTCTAAAAATGGGATCTCAATGTGTAATGTTTTTGTCCTGGAAAGGCTGGCTGGAAGCAAGGGCACAAGCACAAAGGAAAGAAATTCCCAGGAGAACCAAACCAAGCTCTTAATGAATACATGACATAAATAATAAATAACCTGGCAATAGCTATCCTAGGATTAAAATTATACTCTGGAGCTACTGGGAAAGACACAAACAGAATATTAAACAAAACTCAATGTAGAGAACGCAGAGGCAGAGGGAAGTTGTTATTCTTTTAAACTCTTTCAATTACACAAGTTAGTGGTGCCCCATCAGAAATTCCTTCTGGAGTGAAATCAACTCCTGCACATGGACAATTCTGGGAAGCTCCTGACCTCCTGTGCCAAACACAAAACAAGAACAATGAAAGACCCTTGCAAAAATCAATTTTCCAGCACTGACGAAGGGAAAACAAAGACAGCAAATAAAGAAATTTTCAGAGCCCATAATATATGGGAAAAGAATTGATCCCAGACTCACAATTTTTAATTTCATTTTCTGTGAGTCTAGTAGGTGTACAGATATGAGTTGCCAGTGTCATTCCACGGAAATGCATGTTCTCAGCTTAAAACTTCCATGTTTTCATGCAGAGCAAGGCTTTCATGAGTCTTTTGTGTCACAACTCTTCCCAGGGAGGTGTATTATAGGCTTTGCAGAGGAGATCATGAAAAGACGTGTAGTAAGGGCAGAGGGCTGTGGTGAGGCAAGGGGAGAGCTCCCTGCTCTGCCCTGTCTCTCCCAGCTCCTTCACGCTCTCTGTGCTCCCTGCTTTGTAACAAAACTCTCCAGCCAGCTTGATGGATGCTCTTGTGGCCAGAATGTTTGTCCACAGGTTAGCGTAATGTTGAGCTATGTGGCTACATACAGCTTTTACTTCTGCACAACAGTGCAGGATCTGTACCTCCCTATGGGATGTTTGACAGTGCTGTCGCAGGAACCTCTTTAATAGCAGTAGGTTTCAATCTGTGAAGGTTCAAGTGTCAGGGGGAAGACATACTCCAATCAATGCCCATGTTTCCCCCATTCCCCTATGCTCTGTCCTCTCAGCAGAATGCTCAGTGTATTCTGGTAATTAGCAAATATCTACATTAAATATATTTTTAAATGAGTGCAAATCTCCCTGCCTAGTCTGTGCTCCCAAAAGCATTCCCTTTGCATTTCTTTTTTGGTTTTGTTTTTTTTTCCCTTTAATTTTCAAATCTTGTGCTAACTATAGGCTAGTCTGCAGTGATAGAGTTACAGAGCTTAAACTGAAATATGCTTGTTACTATTAATTGCTGAGTTTAAAAATAATTACCTGGTCAGATGAGATCTTTATTTACTCTTAACTGTAGGTTTACATTTCCTTTAAAAGCAATTCTTGCAGATATAAACACATAATGTAAAATGATACTATTAGATTAACCCAATGGCCTTTAACTTCATTATTTCTAAAAAGAAATGAATCAACAAAAATGTCAGTGTAATTTCCCTTGTTAGGGATACGGTGGCTATCTTGCATCAATGATCCTGAAATCCAGTGAACGGCTCTTCAAGTGTGGAGCTGTGGTGGCACCAATTACAGATATGAGATTGTATGGTGAGTATTCCCTGCCTGTGTGATTGTCTATTCAAAAAGTTCAAAATACTTTTTATTAATGGAGCTACTATTCATTTTACCTAAGGCCAGATAATGTAATAGCCACTAGATTTCACCTCACTGTCTTGTTCTCTGCTTCAACACTGGGACAGTTTACCAAAACACAGATTACAGTATTATTAACACACTGATTTTTGCAAAGGAGATGTGTTTACCATTTCTCACTGAAATTCGGCCAGGTACCCCATTTCCTAAGAATCCTTTAGGTAGACCACCCTGAATCAAGACTTATAGTAATGAATCTTATAAGGTTATTGGTGAATTCTGTATGATACCAACCAGGTCATCATCCAGTCATAGGGTATTTGGTTCTGTATGTGAAGTTTGGGGTACAGGCTGTGGACTGTAATGTATGGGAAAACAGACCAGGTTACTTTAATTGTCTGTTAGTGTTTCCTTTGCTTTATTTTGGGGGTGTGTTGTTTTTTTGGTTGGTTGGTTGGAGTTTTTTGGGTGGTTTTGTTTTGTTGGTTTTTTGTTTTGTTTTGTTGGTTGTTTTTGGTGGTGGTGGTGGGTTTTTTTGTGCCTATGCTGTTGTTTGGTTTGGGTTTCATTTTTTTTTAATGATGTTTTAAATGGTACATTTAAATGGTGGTACATTCTGGTTTTAAATCAAGATCTCTTTGTTGGTTTCATGGCTTAAATAGCTTCTCCTGACTGTAGGTCAGAACTGATGAGACTTAAAATAGAAGTGATTTTAATAAATTCATGCGTTTTTGGTTTTACTTTCACAGCATCAGCATTTTCAGAAAGATACCTTGGTATTCCATCCAGAGAGGAAAATACCTATCAGGTAAGCTAGCATAAACAAGTAACTTAAAATGTCTGTTTTACTCTTAAAGTGCAACTCAGTTACACCTTTGTGTGTGTTTCTTTACTAGGCATCCAGCATATTACACAGTCTTAATGGTTTAAAAGAAGCAAATTTGCTAATAGTACATGGGACAGCTGATGGTAAGTATTCAAAGATGCAATTACCTTTGGAGTCAGAGGTTCTGACTTGGAGGCGTTCAAAGCCTCATGAGGCACACACCTAGAAAGTACATTTTTAGTTCCATTATCCCTCTGACAGGATTTTAAACTTTATTTCAATTGTCACTTCTAACTCTAAACTGATGATGCTTTCCTTTGCTGGGTATTTGTACCTTTTAGGTGCTGTATGTTCTAATTTGAGTCTTGTGGACCCCTGCCTTGCTAGTGAAAGGTATTATGTGAATTATTAATAAAGAAAGATACATTTTTAATGGTATTTTAAATTCATAGAGAGTCTGCAATTGGAGAAGGAATTATCAGTACAGTTGGTGAAGTACAACACCAAATGAGAAGTTAAACTTTTCAGCTAATTAATTACAAGGTAGTGCGAAAGCATCTGAAATGGAAGCCACAGGGAACCTTTTAATAGCACTAATACTTTTCAGCTGTAGTTTAAGACAGAGAATAAGTAAAATAAAATAGTTTCTAGCACCTTAAGTGGAATCATAAGATGTGTCACTTGAGATAATTTGAAATTACAGATTTAAATTTAACTGCAGTGTATTTTTTCTGAACTTTCTTAACTGATGTAGGGCTGAGGAACAAGCCTTGGTTGGAGGCACAGATTACAGCGCTGCAACAAGCTCCTCTGTACAGATTCACATGCATACTTCTTGCCCTGGCATTTTCCTGGTGAATGGGAGATAAGACAAGGTTTCTTACTCCTCAGTGTGGAGGGATAAGTACCTCGCACTGACAGGGGCTGAGGTGAGAGTGCCCACGTGTGCGGTTGGCACAGTGAGGATGGCACCTGCCAGCCTGTCACCCCAGCATAACCTGTCAAACCCCTGTTATGGATCTCAGGTGCAATCAGAGGGGTGCAAACACTCTTTGGTGTTTCTTCCCAAAGCAGCAGGGAGAGGGACAGAGAAGATATTACTGGGTGACTGAGCAGGCGTGAGGGTCTCAGACTTTGCTGATTGTAAAAGGCAGCAGCAATTTCCAACCCTCTGAACCCAGCACTAGAGGGAATTGAGGCTCTCACAGGTGTCTGAGCAGTGCAGCGTGTTCAAGACCAGGACTCTGATTGCTTGCTGCCCTTGTTTAATACCACAGCTGCTGACACCGCCCAGTGCACTTCCAGCTTAAGCTCTACAGGGCTAGGACATGGTAATAAAGTTGCCTGTTTCTGTGGCAGAAAGATTAACTTAGTGGTATGCTGCAGAAAGTCCATTACCGAAAGAAGCATGGGCTGTACCAACCCTGTGCAAGCAGCAGACAGTCCAATGTGCTTTCCTGTCACCCAGTTACATACTGTCATGATGTCCAACCAGAATGGTTCTACACACCTCTAAACCATCGCGGTGTGTGTAAATCAAGGGTAGAGAGAGGAGTCCTCATGGAGTGCATGGAGAGCACTGGCTTCCCTGGGGGCTTGCAGCTCCTTCTTCTAGACCTCTGCTGGTACACCCTGCATCGCTGTTAATGTTAAATGTTAAAGGCTGTGTGCTGCTCACCAGGTGTACTCTGCCAGCCAGCTTCAGATGCAGTCATCACAGAGCTTGGGAATGTTTTCAGTCAAAGCTGTTGAAGAGATAGGTATTTATTAGTGTAACTTTTTCTAACAATATCCAAATGTTGTTGTCTTGCAGCTAAAGTCCACTTCCAGCATTCAGCAGAACTAATTAAACGTCTAATAAAAGCTGGAGTTAATTACACTATGCAGGTATGTGCAGCTGTGACATTTCCTATAAACACAGTTCAACATTTGACTTCACATTGCAATTTCTTCCCTAAGAAGGACCCTCCCTACCACAACACACTGCTATTCCCTCAGTTTGCAGTGAGAACTCCATTTAATACCATTTTTCTTACTGTTAGCATGGATATCAAGAACTGTATCTTCTTGACATGGTTCTGGGCTCTCTTTTTTCCCCATCTATTTATCCTATGCTATACAAAAAGCTTTACAGTCCATATGCACTCTTTGTAATATGGAGACACCACTGCTTTAGTCCCTTTTTACCTAAAATCACATGAAACTAATCTCTCTGTATTTTCAACATTTTAAATCTATTAAAAGGCAAAAGTGCTGTTCCATCTCTCTGCAGCCATCTGGAGGATGAGGGTGCTGTGAGGGGAGTAGGACAGGGCATGCTGCTGACAGAGACTTATGCAGGACCCACCATGGAGTTCCTGGATGCTGCTGGCTGAGGGTTCTGATTACATGAAACCTTCTTGAATATCCTCAGCGATGTGATTTTGGGTCACTCCTCCAAGTGTCTCTGATGTGACACTTTGCAAACTTCAACCCTTCCAAGCCTTAGGTGAAATTGTAGTTTCCAATGAAGCATTTCCAAGCTCCGTTGAACTGTTCTCGTGTGATCTGGTAATAAACTGAGTTTGAGGAGGCAGCTGAAGCTTTGTGCCTGTGACCACCTCGAGTCTCTTGTCCTAAACCCTGTGGCCTGGATTTCTCCATTCAGCCGGCAGATTTTTGTTCTGCCTCACTTGGGAGAAATTTCTAATGGAATTTGAATTAAGAGGTAAAAATGCCCACATCTACCCTAGGAAAGAGAGATGATGGGATTTAGATAAGAAAAGAAGACAGTTAAAAATATGAATAGAAATGTTTTTTGCTGAACACTTAGAAGCTGGGATACTGAGAGGTCCCTAAAAGCATGAGGTAATTAATCCTCATTGGCGTTAATGGGATTTGGATGCCTAGACACTATTGAAAATGCCAGCCAAGTAAACTGTGGTAAGCACAATGACTGAGAATATAAATTTTTTCACTTCTGCAGATCTCCCACTGCAGTAGTTGTTTGATATAAGTTCAAATTCCAAGAGAATGAGTTTTGCTTTGAGTTTTATTAGCTTTCCCGGATGCCATAAAATTAACGTTATCATCCTGTTGTCATCTAAAACATTTTGAAGATCAGAGAAAGAAAATTAGAGCCCTAAATATTCGAAAAGCCTTTTAAAAACTATTTACTTTTTTTTCCTTTCTCCTCTGCTAGATCTACCCGGATGAAGGTCATAACATTGCTTCTGAGAAAAGCAAATATCACCTTTACAGCACAATCCTTGGGTTTTTTAGTGCTTGTTTAAAGGAGGAGACACCAATTTTACCACAGGAACCTGAAGAGGATGAATAAGGAAGCCTATTTGTGTAGGGGACTGAAGGAGACTTACTTTGAGGCTCAATAAAACCTTAAATAAAAGTGACTGTAAGATTGCAGATTCTGCAGAAGCTCAAGGGCAGCTAAAGGATATCACAGTGGAACAGCACATTTACAGACAATGAGCTAATAAACTGGAATTCAACTACAAAGTCCAAACATATTACCAAGGGACAAAACCTTTACGTTTGTGGAAGGTCAACAGTTGGTTACAGTTTCCTGAAAGAACTTAGTTTTGCATAAAGTGTAGGGTTAGTGCATGTTTGTTATGTTAAGCCTCACTGTTGGTTCTGTAAGTGGTTGCTCGTTTTTTAATTTAAATGCACATCTTTATTCATCTTTGCATAAGGCACAACCTACCATAAGTATTATGGCCACTAATATTTTAAAAGGTAAGCTGCAATCTAACACTTCAATGTTACAATAAGTGCAATTCTTTCGCTCTCTATTACACATAAGAAACCACAGAGATAATAAAGGGCACGATATTTTCTCTAGTTTCTGCTCAAAGGGGATATATTGTCTAGTGCATCATATAACATTGGTATTGAAAAAGATTTTTTTTTTCCCCAATTTCAGCATTCACTATTATTACTGTATCCACTAGTAACCAATAAGGGACTTTTTGGTAGCGTACTCTTGGTCGTTATGTATATACCCAGGACTCCCTAGGCAGAAAATCTTTCTGAGCTTGAAGTTTTCTTTTCCAGCCGTAATTAACAGCTGTATTTAAAACAATATCTGCAACTGAAGTCTTTCCCCAGTCCAAAATGTATCTATTGTTTCCTTAAAATATGTTTGAGTTGTGTTTTGTTATTGTTTATAGTAGTTACTAGTTTGCTGGTTCTACTCTAATTTTAGAATATGCTACTTTGTCACTTGTAAATTAGATACATGAATATTAAATTATAGTTTCAGATAAAGAAAATTTATTAACAATGTATAATGCCACTGGGTAGTACTTTGCTCCTCAAATGAAGACGTATTTTGTTTAGTGCATCTTCCTTTTCTTCCCTCTGGTCTCAGATGTAATTCTAATGCTCATCAAGGTGGCCACGTAGCTTAAAGACACCATTAGTTTTTATTCCGGAGCTGCTCATTAAGTTTCTTGCAACAGGATTTAGCTTCAACAGAGAAATGTTTTCCATTCAAGGCAAAGGAAGCTCCTGACAAGTTAAATTTTATTATTTATTCAGAGGGCAAGCCCCTCACACATCCATTTATTTGCCAACGTGAATTACAGCAATAGAAATTGAAACTATGAAGTAAACAAGGCAGCCAGTTTGGGTTTGCAGAATATTAACTCTGATCATTGAAATCAAGTGCAATGTTGACTTAATTTGAGGTGTCTTCCTGAAGGTATGTGAAAACTCTTGACAGATGCTGTGCCACTTACAAGAGAATAGCAGTATGTTTTTTCTTTCTGGATATATTCCAAATAGTTTCCTATCCAATTATGGTTTCATTTCTTGCAGGATTAAAAAGGAAGCAATTTTTTTGACGGTAACTGTACAATTTAAGATGCAAAATTCTGCATATTTTATGAAGAATGGGAATTGGGTTTAATGTAATCAAAAATGACCTGAAGCTTTTTACTCATTACTTTCTTCTGGAATGTTTTCTTTCACAGTTATCATTTTCTTATGATGAAAATAATTAATTTGTCTGAAAGGTATGGTTTTATGGAACACTGGAAAGTCTCTGTCTTTTAATGTTTAGTGTTTATCTTGTTTTATTGGCAATGTTTAATCTATTTTTCAATTAGTTTAATACAATTTTAATGTGCAATGGTATCTTGTTTGGGTCCCAGTGTCACCACAAAGTATGGCTTTGCTTTGTGGTGTTTGTAGTACATATGGAGTACATATGTATAGTATAGGTACAGTATATATACATATATATATGGAGGCTGCTGCGTGCACTACAATAAGACCATGCAAAACAACAAAAAGAGTAAGAAGAATTCAAGCAAGGTTTGCAAAGCCCGTTTTCTATAGAGAAGCAACATTTTAAAGTCTTCTTTTGGTTGGGACTTCAAGCTTGTGATTTTATAAATTACACCCATTACTTAATAAAAGCTCACCTGACAATACTGACGCTTTTCCTAACCAGACATGGTAAACAAGGTCCTAATCCAGCTGAACTCCATGAAACGTTTTTCCCAATTTGAGCCAAATGCAGATGAAGAAAGTACAAGCTGTGTGCACACTTTGAGCATACCCGATGGACTTGGCATGTGGAGGCTACGTGAAAAGGCTCATTCTTCTCAATGTGTCCACTGGCTGTTTCTCTGTGAGAGAGCCACTCTGTGCTCATGTTTATTTTACTACATTTCACATGTATAGTCCTTAGTTACCTGCAGAAGAGAACAAGCAAGGTTTGTGTCTCAGCAATAGGATTATGCTTGTGTTCAGGAAATTTGTTAGCCCAGATCTGTAGAACCCACACCCTGTCTCCTTCTTTCCCCATAGCTCTCTGTTTCAGGCCCCCATTCCCTACTCCTTCTACCTAAGCATCTCACCTCCAATTTTGATCAATTTACCTGAATTTGAAGGTGGCATGAGAACACGGCTTCTGTAAGAATTCTTTTGCCAGGACTGGTATGTTGTAAAAGTGTGTTATCTGAAACATGGGTTATCTGTGTGGAAATGTGGTATGCTTTTAATATTTTTAATATTTCTTACACTGTCCTACAAACACAGGTATTTTTATACAAATGTGTGCGCGAGGGAGAGCATCAGACCCAGATTAATTTGTTTTACTGAAATTTTTATGCATGAGTTAAATTCAGATACTGCAAAAGTGTTTTAAGATGCAGCCTCTAATTCTAGCTAGACTAAAGAATTTGGTGCAAGGGGTATGTCTACTCTTGCTAACCTGTTCAGATATTTATTCCACTTACAGCACAACTTAATATTGTTATCTGTCAGATTCTACATACATGACCAATGGCAATCACTCATTAATTAGTCTACATGATATATAGCATTGATCAATAGTTAGTACGCATTGCACAGAAATGGCATGAAAAGCACAGATTTTTTTTGTAGCTTATCCATTGTTAAGCACTGTGATCACATTTCAGGTCTGAAAAATTACAGTTTGATTCAGCTGTCCTTAAAATATGACACTTACTAGACTAGACCTATTAATTTATGGAAAGCTGAGGAATCAGCATATCCATTTACTGCTTGCTAGAGCTTATTTCTTGATTTCCTCTCTCCTTTTTCTGCTATTAGGACTTGCAAAATCTATGAAACCTGTAGGTCATACTGAAATTTCAATTATATTACAAAATGAGGAGTAACTACATGTCAATTGGAATATTTTTTCCAGATTATTGAGTACAAAGAAAGGCTGATTATTTTTAAATTAATTTTTTAAAATCTTTTTACAGTGAGGACAGAATTATTTATGACCTGGTTTGATCAATGTCTGGTATGATTTGCTATAACCAACTGCTCATTGTTCCTATGTTTTTTGGCATATGTAGACCTACTCGTGTCTGAAAATGAAGATGACTGCCTCTGTTCTCTCAGTTCTGGCTCTTATTTTGAATATGGAGTCAGGTTCATTTAGTTGAGAAATTGTGCCTTTTAAGACAGAAGAGCTTGTATTTGATCTGATGCCAAAGATTCTCCATGGAAACCTGAGAGTGTTGAGTGTTGGCTCCTTTATAAATTGCAGGGGATACACGGTGTAACCCTAGTATCCCTCCTTGTAGGTTTATTAGGTGTTACTGAAGAAACTGAAGCAAGAGGAAGACTGGCCCAGAGAGACTGAGTACAAGTTTATTTTGTACAGTTTAAAAAAAACATAGTCAAGGTGCAGTGGTCCTAGCATTTTATGTTTACTTGAGTAACTCCTGCTGTCAAGTTGGTTGCCTCTGGGGAAGGAAGAACCTCACCAGTATTGACTACTGGTGTATCTCTGCAAAACATCTTTCAATACCGTTAATATCCCTTCCCTTTTTCCTTTGAACGATTTGAAGAGTGCTTCAGAGAATGGGGAGTTCATGGGATGTGGCTAAGGAGATTCACAACTTCCAAGATGCCCAGAGCTTTGAAAAGCAAAGAAAGGATTTCATGAAACTTCTGTCTGTTGAATTTATTACATCAGAGTTGAAACGCTCTGAATTACATGAGCCTGGCATCAAGGAGGTAGGTGGGTGACGAATATTGCTGATTCAGTCACCAGGGAGGTAACACAACATGCTTCCTACAAACCTAGTACCTAGATGTGCAGCAGTAAGTAAAATAAATGCCAGTTTTCCAATGCCTGAAAGTTACACTACTGCTAGATTAAGTTGATCAGGTATTCAGATAGAATTAAGGAAATTAAAATACCTGAGTGTATGCTGTCCAAAGTTTCTATTAAACTTGGGATGAGACTTCTTGCCTCTTGCCTCTATAATTAGTTTAGAAATCCAATATCCTACCTTTACATTAGTCTAACTCAACAACAACAAAATTGATTTAATAATGGCTATACCCTGTGAGGACACAAATTATATGTGCAATTCTTTTTAATTAAAGTATCCCATAAAGTCTTAACAGCCCATTTTTAGATTTCATGACCAAAGGAAAAAAAAAAAACTTCTGATTGATAAAACCAGCAGAGGGAATATAATTGCTAGGAAGATACTCAGGAAATATTTCCCTGAGGAATGTGATTAGAAAAATGTTTTCTGCTAAAATGTATTTTGTGTCATGAGTGAAATCGGAGTACAGCTGTCAGGGGTGCTTCTCAGAGAATTTAGATGTGGGCGTCCAGCTGATGTCTGGAGGGCTCAGGTAGGGAGCAGGTATCTATACAGGCAGATGGTTCTGTTCTCCAAGCAGTGCAGAGCCTCTGCAGCCCTCTGTGAAGGAGGATTATAGGCTATGAGTTTAGCCTGTCAAAGTCCCTCCTGGATCCAGCAAGGATCCAGCAGGGATCCAGAATACTGGATCGGGAGCACTGCTGATAGGTGAAGACACGGAACTGTTACCTCAGGAATGAGAAAAATATTTTTTACAAATGACTTAGCAGTATGATCACCATGGTATTCTCCAGTAAGCCAAAGGTGAGGGTGGGGAGCTTGGGCAGGGCATGTGGTGATCAGCTGGAACATGCTCCAGCTGAGAGGCCACCTGGCAGAAACTACAGCTCCAGCAGTGTCTGTACCTGCTCTAACACCACCGTGAAAAAAAGGAAAGGGACTGGATCCTTGGACAGAATATTTAGTCTCTGTTAATATCTCAGAAGAGTTGCTGTAATAAAATGGGTAGACCTTTCCAAAATGTTAACAAAGAGCAGAACAAGACTGAAGAAGTGTGCCAGTTTGTCCCAGCAGCAGCTGTCAGCATTTTCCTGGCATAGATGCTTGACAAATGAAATAGTGTGTAGGATCCATTCTTAGGTTTTCAGCATCACTGGGAGAGAGGTAAGAAAGAAGAGTGTTGTGTGGAGACAAGCAAAGGGTTGTTTTATTGCAATATGTTGCTCTATTCGAAGCTTTTGCTCTGAAATAAAGTGGTGTAGTGTGTACCACGAAACCCAGTAACCTTGGAGACAAATGTAGCCAGCGCTTTATTCAATAAACTTCCAACTAAAGCAGCAGAGCCAGAACATCCAGTTATTTTGACAAAAGAATGATGGATTACATGGTTTCTTACAGATTTTTAGTCCTGTGCTTAAGTTTAATTTCTATTCTACATTTCAAACAGTCATAACATAGGAATAGTTAAATATCATTCCACATTTGAAAGAAGCAGTTACAGTGAAATCTTTTGTTTTGAAAAGCAGTACAAATTGTTATATTTAAAGCTATTTACATTGTCAAGTTAACTGTTCTTCCCTTTGGTTCATGCTAGGCACTACATTTGTTCAACTGATGGGTTGACTTTTTTTTTTATTGGAATGGACATTGTAGTGAAGTTGGGCAGAGGGGCTTATCTGG